TTCCTAAGTCATTACGTTCAGTTAAGGATACTTCCATCAGCATATCTATGATGAAGTTAAACAGAAATGGGGAAAGTGGACATCCCTGTCGGACACCACTGGTTGTTACCAATTCAGATGACAATTCCCCATAAGCCCTTACACGACTACGTGAGTTTGAATAGAGTGCCTTGATTAGTGCAATGTACTTTCTTGGCACTCCCTTCACAGTCAGACATTGCCATAGTACCTTTCGATCCACGGAGTCGAAGGCCGCCTTCAAGTCAAGAAATATGACAATTGTTGGACGCCGAAAAGTGTGTCTATGTTCTAGAATCTGTCGAAGAGTGAAGATATGATCTATGCACCCTCTACCTGGTCTAAAGCCTGCTTGATTTTCCCTTGTCTGTTCCTCCCGAGTTCTGCTTAGTCTATGCATGATTACTGAGCCTAGGATTTTAGAGACTATGTTCGTTAGGCTGATCCCCCTATGATTATCACACGAGGACTTGTTTCCCTTCTTGAATATCGGTATAATAAGTGACTTACCCCAGTCTGATGGCACTGTCTCTGATTCCCAGACTTTGCCTAGTACCTCAGTTAATCTACAAACTAGTATGTCACCCCCATATTTAAACACCTCCGGAATAATTCCGTCGGGTCCTGCCGCTTTGCCTCGTTTCAAATTACTGATAGCTTTTGTGACCTCACTTACAGACGGCGGACCAGTGTCTATATCCCATTCGGGTACGTGGTGGATGGCGGGGAGGTTCAGTGTGGCTGTAGGCAAGTTAAATTGTTCCTCAAAGTGTTCTTTCCAGCGTTCAAGGCGTCTATCCTGAGAGCTAATTAAGGAGCCATTTTTCTCAGAAATAGTCTCACTTATGAATTGCCTTCTCCCACCCGTTTCCCTGATGAGTCTAAAGAGTTGCCTAGTGTTGCCTATCGCCGATGCTTTTTCCATCTCTTTTGCCTTTGTCACCCACCACTGTTCACGGTCCTTGCGGAGACTTTTAGTAAGTTTCCTTTTGTGCAGCTTTCGCTCCTCATTGAATTCGGAGCTCGCCGGAATAAGTCTTCTAGCATCTATCAGTTCGGATGAGGCAGTCGAAATCCAGTGGTTTTTACTCACCTTTGGATTTGCCTTATTCACAGCTTTTACAGCTGTATCTATAGCTGACTGAATATTCTTCCAGGCTTCTCCAGGGTGAGCACAGCTGTCGAACTCAGATATGTGTTTAGCTAGTTCTTCCTCAAATAGGGATTTAGTTTCCTGATCGAGCTGGGGACGTGATGGTTTTACCGCCAGCTGTTTCCTACGTCCGTTCAGTCGTAAGCACACACGAGCCCGGACCAGTGCGTGATCGGTATCTACACACGTGTTCCAGAAGGAGCGACAATCTCCTACCGACCCACGCCAACGATAGCTTATTGCTATGTGGTCTATTTGTGTCCAGCGTTGGTTTGATGATGGGGGTCGCCAGGTTAAACAGTGTCTCTCCTTGTGTTTAAAGTTAGTGCTTACAAGAAACAAATGATTATCTGAACAGAACTGTAGGAGACGGTCACCGTTGTCGGTTCGCTGGCACGGAACTCCATAGGTGCCACCGACATCCTTCTCAGATTGACACAATTTCCCTACTTGAGCATTAAAGTCACCAGCTAGAACGACTATATCTGAGCGTTTAGCCTTTCTCACCAAACTAGACAGCTTTTGGTAGAACTCATCCTTCGTTTCATCCGAACTGCAGTCAGTGGGGGCGTAGGCGGAGATTACGAAAAGGCATCGGCGAGTAGTGCAGTCCTTTCTCCTTCTTACTGATCCGTTCAGACGGACAGCACACATTCGGCTATCTACTGGGATCCAGTCAAGTAATGTCTTTTCTGCCCTAGTACTCAAGCTATCCCTACGCCAGCTAATCCTCGTGAACTAGCTGTGGCATCTCCTGACACCCTCAAGGTGAATTTTGAAGATTCATCCTGTTGGCCAGGTGGGGTTAGGTGAATAACCACACTTGGGTCTTGTATGCGTGTTTCTGAAACACAACATACATCAATGGCTCGAGATGCCAGGGTCTTAGCTAGTGATGCTTGTTGTCCTATTTGGCAAAGTGTCCTAACATTAAATGCTCCTATATGAAATTGGTGGCGTGGCTTTAGGAGACTATCGTGGTGGTTTTTTGGCTTTCGTCGTTTTTAGTGGACACAGAGTGAAGAGGGAGTGAGGAGCCATCAAGTAGAGGAGTTGCATCAGTGGGAGGAAGGCAAGGTAATAGAGATGAAGATGAAGACAAAGATAAGTGAGGATTAGAGAGGTTTTGTGTGCATTTCGGATTGTGAGGGCGTTTGTTACTTCCCGGCTGCCCACACCGTGGAAGTTGGTTGCGTGACCGCAGAGCCCAGGGGACAACTGCTTGAGGCCGGTCACACGCGGCCTGTTTTTGTTTGTCTCTTTTTTTGGTGTGCCTCAGTAGCATACTTATCACTCCTGCCCTGTGACACGGCAGCAGGAAGCGCGGTCGTTGTTAATCCGGGCCACGGCCGATCCGGCATGAAATTTTGTGAATTTGTTTGATCATAATGGTGGGTTGGGTAGCTGCTTTTTGTTTAACCGCTATCCAAACAACCTGCCTGGCATGGTAGAACCTCAAGAGACATAAGTCTCAGCCAGTATAGCTTGATTAGGTCATTGCGGTGTTCAAGCCCGACCACCACGTCAAGGTAACAGCTTTCGGTCACCTTATTATGCCACTTTACACGGGAAATAGAGCGCAGCCACCTATGATCAAAGACAGCTAATCTTTTCATGTCTTCCACTCTCAGTGGCCAGGTCTTGCTCACAGCCATAAAGGAGGACGGAGCGGACTGATGAGCAGTACACCCGCCCTTTGGTCGATAGTCGAACATCTCGTCTACGCCAGAGTCGTCGTAAACTGGCAAATGCGAAACGAGCCCTCTGTATTCGTGCTGAGATTTCGTCAGAGATCAACCCGTTGGGGCTGATGGTACTTCCTAAATAATTGAAGCGGTCAACGTTCTCTACCACTTCACTTCCTATTTTCAAACTAGGCGTCGATGTAGTCCAGTCCTGTAACATCATCTTGCATTTAGTTGGAGCGAATCTCATGCCAAACATTCGTAGATTGCTGCTCAAGGTGTTTAGAAGACTCTGCACTTTGTCAGCGTCTTCGCCTAGAAGGACTAAATCGTCTGCATATTCCAAGTCAACGAGATTATTCCCTGGTAGCAAGTCAATCCCTGAGTCTCTGAAGTCACTTAGGGTTAAGTCCATTAACACATCTATGATGAAGTTGAATAGAAAAGGGGATAATGGGCATCCTTGACGGACACCACTAGTCGTCACCAGTTTAGATGACAGCTCGCCGTAAGTCCTCACCTGGCTGTATGAGTACGAGTAGAGTGCCTTAATCAGTGCAATATATTTTCTCGGGATTCCCTTTACAACCAAGCATCTCCAGAGAACTTCTCGGTCGACAGAGTCGAATGGTGCCTTTAGGTCAAGAAATATAATGACTGTTGGACGCCGGTAGGAATGCCTATGTTCTAGAATCTGTCGGAGGGTGAAGATATGATCAATACACCCTCTTCCTGGTCTAAAGCCTACCTGGCTTCCTCGTGTTTGTGCCTCCCGAGCACCACTTAGTAGTGTACGCAATATTATTGAGCCTAGGACTTCAGATACTATATTAGTCAAGCTAATCCCTCTGTGATTATCACAGGAAGACTTGTCTCCCTTCTTGTATATGGGGCTAATCAGTGATTTACACTTTTCCATAGTATAACAACTTGACCTGGTAGAGTTCTGAACGAAGCTCCACCTTGGTATTTTTTAGTTTCATCGTAAAGCATCTGCATATTTGTCTGTTGAAAGTGCGAACGTGTTGCATTCTGTTTCTTTTTTCTATGGTTGTAAGACATACTTGTTGGCTGTGAAAAAAACCTGGATGATGTAGGATGTTTCTGTGGTATCGTTTTTTGTTGTAATGTGATGACCAGTTTTGAGACTGCATCTAGGAAACGATAAATCAACTGATGACAGGATTGGATCACACGAAAACGTAGGGTAGATAAACTAGGAAAAGACATCTGAGAATTCTTGTACTGTTGATGAATATCTTTTAGGGGAATGTGAATTTCGAATTTAGTCGTCTATCGCTTTTGAAATTATAACTGAACTCAATCAGCTAGAATGCTGTTTTGATCGGTTTTTGTACTGTAGTTATGTGACTCATCGGCTACAGGTCTTCACTTTCTGACGGTTGTGCTTGTGTTTTATTTCTAGCCCATCTGCTTCATTTTGGACTAGCAGATAGGGGCAACTGAAAGAGAATAGGGTTTTAAATAATATCTTCTATCAGTAAACTGTTCTTAATATTGAATGTTGAATTAAATAAAAAAAAACAATATTGTGTCACTGAAGTGTGTAAATAAGTGAGTGCGGTATATTTCTGCTGGTAGGAATATTTTAGTCATATATCGTTTCCCGAGTATTCTGTAAGGATGATCAAGGAAGCTTCTAAAAGATTCATTCCTTAATATCGGGTAATGTTTATATATCTTTTGGTCAACTATTAGAAAGTAATAGGATTATTCAAAGAACACACAATTTAGCATGTCTCCATTGAATCTCATTTAGCCCTGGGATTTTAACTCAAAACTGTGGAAAGATCCATATCGATTCTTGAAGTCTTGAGAGGAGATTGATTAGTGATCGTGTTGTTTCATTGTCATTTAGAAAGACAGTATTATACTTTGCTGACTTTTCTAAGGCTTTTCGACCCCGATTTTATTCTTGCGTTTTCAGTGAAAGCAGTCATCCAGTGTCGGTTGCCATCGTTAATTTTAGTCCATGTAGAATAGTACTTGGAGTTTCCCCTTCAGTTGCATGAATAAAATTGTTTTGCGATGCACTTTCATATTTTTCTGGAACATATTCTAGTAGATATCACATAGCCTATTCAAATGGGTAACTTTTTGTTTTCTTTTTTTTTACTTTTTAGTCCCAATGGTTTGACAAAAAAGGAGAGGATTGTTGAAGATAAAGTGAGTGATTCGTGAAACATATTCTGTTCAATGTAATTGAGTGTAGTCAAGCCTATGTCGCTTCTCATTGTCTTTAAAACAAGCTTTCTTATATACGCTACAGCAGTTTCCTAAAATATGTTTATGTATTTAGTGTTCTGAGTAAAATTCTGAGTCGCATCATCCTGGAGAGAATAACGGACGCACTGGATACAGAATTCCGACCAGAACAAGCTGGATTCAGGAAAGGCAAATCATGTTCTCACCAAATTGCAACTCTACGCATCATCATCACAGAACAAAGCATGGAATGGCAATCAAACCTCTACCTCAACTTTATAGACCTTGAGAATGCCTTCGACAGACAGCGTTGACTGCGAAGTAATTTGGAAACTATTCGAGTACTACGGCGTACCCCAAATATTCATCAACCTTATTCAACAGCTGTACGACAACGTCACATGTCAAGTGATCCACAACGGAAAACTCAGCGATGCGTTTGGGGTAAACACAGGAGTCAGACAAGGGTGCTTACTATCACCAATGATATTCCTAATTGTGGTGGGTTGACTGGATTATGCGTCAGATAGTGAGTGGGAAACGAGAAGACAGGGATATCCTGGACCGACCGACGTGAAGAACCTAGAAGACCTGGATTTCGCCTGTGGATAATTTATGTTTGATGTCACACAAAATCGAAGACATACAAGCGAAAACCGACAAACTGGTCGAAGAAGCAGCCGGCGAAGACAGGACTCCAGGTAAACATAGACAAGACGGAGGTTATGAAAATAACCGACCAACCAACAACAACAACAGCAGCAACATTCATGGGCAATCACCATCAACGGGAGGGATTTGAAAGAGGTTAGTTACTTCATTCACTCACTTATCTAGGGAGCATTGTCTCGACTACAGGCAGTCGGAACGGACGAGAATGTCAAATCGAGTGACAATCGGGAAGGCGACAAACACATTCATCAACCTGAAACCAATCTGGAAATCTTCGTCGCTCAGCATCAACAACAAAATTCGTTCGGATTTTCAATACAAACGTCAAGTCAGTCAGTTCTTCTATACGGATCAGAAACTTGGCGGGTGGGTCACAAAGAATATTTCCAACAGCCTGTTGCAGACCTTACCTTTATCAACAACTGTCTTCGCTCTATACTGAAGATCAGATGGCTGGGCCGGAAAGAATCACTAGCAAGAAACTATGGGAACAAACAAAACAAGAACCAATCGCCGCCCAACAAATATGCAGGAGAAAGTGGACTGAGATGGATTGGACACTCGTGGCTGAGGAGGCCGCTGGGTGACATCGCGCGCGTCAGGCCATTGCTCGAGTGGAACCAGGCCGAAAGAGAAGCGGCGAGTGGGACGTCAGTGCAAGGGTGACATGGAGGAGATCGTGTGAAGAGAAGTTGAAAGAGTATGGACTAACATGGATGCAGGTGAAGAGTACAGCAGAAGACAGAAACAAGTGGAGACGTGAAGTTGAAGCCCTATGTTCCACTAGGAACCCAAGGGAACAATAATAATAATTTAGTGTTCAGCAGTACCTTGGATTTTTGAACTTTAGTATAACTCCCGTCCCCCAACAGCTAGCGTAATTTATTTTTTCAAGTTATTGCAAGAAGCATTTACATATGATCTGTTGTCTGGTTCAGTTCACTGTCATAGTATGACTGCAAATGAATCAAGTCTGCCATTGTTATTTCAGTCTTCTTAAAGGGAAACACATTGAATGTCTTTTTTTGTGAATAGTATATTCCCAGTTGGAATAATGCCAACGCGAAGACTTACTGAAACAACTTTACGGCCGTTAGTCTATGATATAAGGTAGTTGAGAAAAAAAATCATAGTTGTGTTAAGTCAGCATACATTAGTACACACCAACCGTCTGATGGTCGTCTAAGTACCAAGTCGTATTATCTTTCTGGCCCTTAACTACCACTTATAGTCTCAACCAGTATTGATTGTATCTTAGTTTTGCTTTCGTTTCACATAAATGAATACCAGTAGGTGTTTTGTTACCCGCTTAGTCCTCTGCGCCTGTTCCTCTCTTTAGGATTGGCTGATACAGTCGAATGGGTTAGCGGTGTCGTGACTTATCCCAAAGCGTTGATTGCAATTACTCAGTACTAACCTATATAGTTTAGTAGAAAACTCCCTGATTCAGGCAAAAATACCATGGAAAACTTTGATCTTCTGAAGGTTGTAGGTAAGCCTTTTCACTAGCTGTCCACAGGAACGAAGCTACAATCAGTTTGGGCTCCTCACCTTCTTTACTACTTTGTGTTCGAAGTTTAACTCAGGGTTTCAAGCTTTAAATGTTTCAGTAACGGTGGTGTAGTTGCCGCGAAGCGGAGTTGCTAGCCTCATGTCCCTCCTTCTCTTGTTGCCAAGCTTATTAATGGCTGTTGAACTAGGTGAGATTTAAGAGTGCATCAGTCAGGAATTGAACCTGGACTTCCTTTGGCGTTGGCAAGCATTCTACCATTCAATTACTTATGGGCTTCATACGGCTTAGCTTATTATACTTTTTAAGTTAGCTTAATCATCAAGTTGCATATTTTACCTATGGATTTCGGTCAATCATTAATCATGCAGTGACTGATCGATGTATTCATTTATGCTTGCATCATTCCATTTGGTGCCAGTTTCAAAATGAATACTGTCTGTATTTCTTTACCATGTAATTCTAAACACTTGATTTAAAAAAAATGTATTCCAACTGTTACTTTAGAAACAGGATAACTGCTTTTCGCTTGCAATGTAAAATACCACTCCTTTTGTGAGCATTTCCTTAGTTAATAAGTCATACTCTAAATGTTTGTATTCACTGTTTTACGTTTTAGTATCGTAAAAATGATATTCGTCGTGTTGATAAATGGCTTAAAATGATTCACAAGTGGGAAGAAGTCGATTCCTTATGGAATCGTATGTACAGGAATGGTCGAGCCTCAGAGAAGGTAAATACATAGATGTATGTGTATTCCTTCCTTTTTTTTGTTTTTGTTTTAATTACCAACTCACTGATTAGTATTCACTTTAGAGAATGGAAGTATTAGTAGAGAAGTAATTACAAATTATTAGTCACTGTAGGTGGTCGCCTGTAGAATATATCTACTATGCAAAAACTAATTACCTTAATTGATTAGCAAAGCCTTTTCCAAGTTGAATGGTGGATATGCACGTTAACCTATCTAAGGGGGGGGGAGCTAGAAAACTGTGTTTCTCCGAACCTATACGGTGTACATGAGCTCCGAAATCTAAACGAACCGAATTGTGTATGAATCTGTTTTGGTCACCGGAAACCGTGGGGGATGAGGCTGCTGACACCACTCCATTACCTTATGGATCAGGTTCCTGGTTGGGGTCCTCGGGATGGTAAAACCTAATGACTGGAGACAATTGGTGATATGGCTCAAAATCGTTCTCAGTGGCTGGCGTAGATGCAACCACTCCTTGTGACTTAGAATTTCCAATAAAACTATATTGTTCTTCGTTATTACTATTCCTTTTGCTTCAAATCTGTCTTTAGTGTCTCTACTTTGCGTTTCTTTATACCTCTCCTTCTTCTCTGGCTTTGTGTGCTGAGTGAAGTGTGGCGACTGCCCATCGGTGCAAAGTTTTGTGCTGAAACCAGTCAGTCAGTCATGGATCGGGTTTCAAGTAAAAGACTCGGTGTGTGTGATCCATTAAGACGACCGCCAGCTTCGGTCTGGGCGGTCTGGACAGCATCCTGGCCCTCATAGAAAATATGTGATTTTGTGTGGCGTATCTATTGGTTCCAGTAATGTACCAACTTAGTATTTCAATGATAATAATAATAATGACTGATCTGCTTGGATTCAACATAGAACTTGGTACCGAAGGGCAGCAGTTCGAGTTGCCACACTCCATGTTGCATACAAAGCAACAGAAGAGAGTAAAAGACAGATTCAAAAAAGGGAGAGATAATAAACAGGAGTGCAAGTGGGAGGAAAAGAAGAGCAAAATGCAAGAAAAATAATGTTTTATTGGATATGATAAATCACAAAGAGTGAATGCATCTGTGCCAGCCACTGAGAACGATTTTGAGCCACATCAATTGTCTCCAGGCCTTAATTTTCATCATCCTGAGGAGACCAATCAGGAAGTCTACACATCCCTATGAATTTCCATTAGTGATGAAGCCATGTTTTCGTTTGACAAGCACTAACTCTTTTCCAACCTGATCCATTCTATGTCAGCTAGCATTCTTCCGTTTAGGAAGGCAATGATTAGGCATGCGTGACACATGTTCTAACCATCTCAATCGATGCACTTGCTTTACAACCTTGTCGACCGATTTTCCCTCCTTACCTAACCCTCGACTGAAGTCTAATCTCAATATTGCTCACCTTATTATACCACTTAACACGGGAGATAGAACACAGGCACCTACAATCAAAGACGACTAGCGAGCATTTTCATGTCTTTGCACTTTCAATGGCCATATCTCGCTCAGGTGAAACTGCTGAGCAGTACACACGTTCTTTGGTGGACAGATGGATATCACGTCTACACAAGAGGTGGCGTTAGTTGGCGAATGCCAAACGAGCCTTCTGTAGTCATAGGGAAACTTTGTCGGCAATCAACGTGTTGGAACAAATGCAATTACCCGAATAAGTGAAGTGGTCAATACGCTGTACCATTCCACTCCCTATTTCTAATCTAGGAGTCGATGTAGTTTCGTCCTGTAGCATTATCTTACATCTGGTTAACATTAGGAGACTGCTGATCAAGTTTTCAGAAGACTCTGCATTTTGTCAGTGTCTTCACCTAGGAGGGAGGACTATGTCATCCACATATTCTAAGTCGACGAGATTATTCCCTGATAACAAGTCAGTATTAATAATATAAGTAACTAGAGTATAGCTTCGTACATTTAACAGTTAGACATTCAATTGTATCCCTATTGTGAGAGTTTCATTCGATTACCACATGAATAAATTAGATAAAAATGTAAGCCAATGATATCAACTTCCAATAAAATAAAATTAGCGGCGTTATTTAGTAGTTGTATGATAGTATGTGATTCTCCAAACCTCACTGGGTAAAGATGGATTGTAGCCCAAAAGTCACGAGCCTACACTAGTGAGCTCTATCACTCGTAATCACCGACGGTGGTTTAATGTTTCTAAGGTAGCTAGAGTACATTATGATCTTTATCATATTACTGAATCGTATACACAACTATTAAAATAAAATGCCAAGATCAATATTGTGAGAGATTGTTCAATCTGTTACCTGTCAATTAAGTATCGATTTCCCTGAGTCGAATTCCATATAATTTCCATATACATATAAGAAAGATTAGTGTTATCTTTGTATCTACACGTTTTCTAGTTCACTTGTAAATAGCCATATCGATTTGACCGATTTAATCACTTCGTTTTTTGAAACAATAGGTCAAATTATGCTATACTATACTATACAAGGTGTGACTTCTGGTTCATCATATGAATTCTACACATTGTTACACTAAACATTATCAATTTGATTCTTACGGTAGTTATTATTTTGTCTGTCAGTGCGAAACCAATATTATTAAGACTATATATATATATATATATATATATATATATATATATATATATATATATATATATATATATATATATATATATATATGGAGAGAGAGAAAAACTTTGACCGGAACAAGCTGGATTCAGGAGAAACAAGTCATGTATCGATCAAATCATCACTCTACGGATCATCATTGAACAAAGCTTGGAATGCCAGTTACCTCTCTATCTCGCTTAGCTTCATCGACTTTGAAAAGGCCTTTGACAGTGTAGCGTCGATCGAGAGGTCATTTGGCAACAACGTCGCTACTACGGGGTTCCATCGACAATTATACATCTTATCCAACAGTTATACGACAATGCTGCATGCCAAGTAATCCACAACGGGAAACTTACGGAAGCCTTCGAAGTGAAGACGGGAGTGAGGCAAGGTTGTCTACTATCGCCAATGATTTTCCTGATTGCAGTAGATTGGATAATGCGACAGAGAGCGGGCAGGGCGATGAGGAAACAGGCATAAAATGGACTCACACAAAAAACTTGGAGGATCTGGACTTCGTCGATGATATATATCTTATTTCCCACAAACTGGAAGATATGCAAGTGAAAAGCAACAAGCTGGCAGAAGAAGCATCAAAGATAGGAATTCAGGTGAACATAGATAAAACAGAGGTGATGAAGATTCCTGGCCAACACCAACAGCAACAACAACAACAGACAACAATCAGCCTGCATAAATGGGAGGAACCTGAAAGAAACAACCTCCTCTACCTACCCACGTACCTGGGAAGCATCGTTTCAACTACAGGCGGAAGTGACGAGGGTATCAAAGCAAGAATCGGAAAAGCAAGACAAGCTTTCATTACTCTCAAGCCTCTGTGGAGGTCAACAGCACTCAGCATGAAAAATAAGATCCGGATTTTCAACTCCAATGTGAAGTCAGTCAGTGCTACTGTACGGATCAGAGACTTGGCCAGCGTGTCATAAAGAGCACCTCAAACAAACTTCAAACCTTCATTAACAGTTGTCTTCGCTCAATACCACTCAAGATCAGATGGCCGGCCAGAAAACATCAGCAACAGGGATCTCTGGCAATGAGCGAACCAACTCAGCAGGAACCGATTGTGAAACAAATAGGCAGGAAGAAATGGAGGTGGATTGGCTGGCCATAATCTGAGGAAACCAACAAGTGACATCACACACTGGGCCATCGCTCGAGTGGAACCAGACAGGGAAGCAGCGAGTCGTTCGTCAGTGCGAGGGTGACTTGGAGGAGGTCATGTGAAGAGGAGATGAGAGCATGTGGGCAGACTTGGAGGGGGGTGAAAAAGTTGTCAGAAAACAGAAGGCAATGGAGACGCGCGGCTGAAGCCCTATGTTCCTCTAGGAATTAAAGGATATTATATATATATATATATATATATGTAATACAAAGCCTGTAGCGTAGTAAAAGCTAGTTAATTGACTGACTGCCTGATCAGGTTTCAACATAGCACTACTTCTCACAGAAGTACAGCAGTTCCACTTGCCACACTCCACATTGCATATTAAGGTAGAAAAAACGGAATTTAAGAGATTCCATACTAATTTGTTTATTAGATATATCATACACAGTGTGAAACAGTATTACTCTTTACTGGATGACAAAGTTTTGAACGCAATTTATGGATGGTTCATAATCATTTCATCAATTATAACTACAAAATTTCGAAACTTTCGTTTTATGGTTTTCTTTATTCTTTCCTATTTATTGTAAGGGTAGTAGAGTTTTCCAGATGTCTGGGTAGACAGGTAATGATAATAGTAATAATAATAATTTGCTTTATTCCAAAACAGTACTTGTGATACAGAATGGAATTCTCAGCATTTTACTACAGTATTGCATCCACTTAGTACATTATCGATAAATAAAATTCCACATAGACTAAGGGTATTCTCAGACTAGTTTTGACTACAACATATTGGCATGTCAGTAGCAAAGCCAAGATTGAACAGAGTGTTTGAAGGTGTTAGAAAAGTAGATACTACTAGCATATTTACTGGCGTAAGCGGTAACAAAAGGTCGAGATATACAGAGTGTGAAAGAACGAAGACAAATGTTTTAAATAGAGTTTGTAAAGAAGAGAGAAACAAAACAGCACATAACAAAAGAAGAGAAAAGGAAAAGAAAGAAAGAAAGAAAACGTTGTACGTATAAATGATATGAGTTGGAAAGACGAGATCCAGTTGTTCTACTGGGTATTTAATAAGTTATAGATATCACGCCTATTGCCTTCTTTATCGCACAGAACACGAGCTAAGTAGGGTATGGTTGAGTTTTTGTACTTTCTAGTGAGAGCATATAGTCTCCTATATAGGCTTCTGGTTTTTCCTGATGAGATACGAGGGGAGAGTTGTGAATGAAGAGGGTGGTCAGAGTT